GCGGCCAATTGTGAACAGAGGCAACAGTGAGGAGACAATGGACAGTGATAAGTTTAGCAACAGGGGCAAAGGTCTCAGTATAATCGATGCCTTCACGCTGGGTGAACCCTTTGGCGACCAAACGAGCTTTGTATCTCTCCAGGGTACCATCGGAAGTGTACTTGAGTTTGAAAACCCATTTGCACCCAATCGGACGTTGGCCAGCGGTAACGGAACTAACGACCAAGTGTGGTTCTCTTCCAGAGCTGCAATTTCGGAGTTCATAGCCTCAACCCAGTGGGGGTTGTGACAGGCCTCCTCATAAGTGTTAGGTTCAACCAATTGGGAGATATTGTTGACAAAAAAACGATGAGGTTCCGAAAAATTAGAATGAGTGACATACCGAGTGATGGGGTAGCGAGTACCTGACGTGATGGGGAAGGAACTCCTGGAGCAAGCAGGGCGGCATGGTGGGCTTGGTAGTCCTTGAAGTGGGGAGGGGGTTTGATAGATCAGGTGGATTTTCGCAGAGGTGGGGCGGGAGAAATGGGATTGGCGTCGGTGAGAGAAGGAGGAAGAGGTTGTGGAGGGGACGAAAAGGCCGGAGAGGGTGACGCCGTGGCATCGAAGGATGGTGAAGATGCGGCGGTAGGTATCGGTGATGAAGGAGAAGAACCAGAGAGAACAGGGGGTGAACCTGAAAACTACTTGTACTGTCCAAGGGCTGGAGATATCCAACGTGAGAATTTCAAGCATTTTCAGTGGCATTGGTTCAGGGGTGAACCTGTAATTGTGAGTAATGAAACCACAAAAGGTTTAAGCTGGGAACCATTGGTCATGTGGCATGCTTGTCGTCAGATATGCAACATACTAAGCATGGTAAACATTTGGAAGTCAAGAGCATTGACTGCTTGGATTGATGTGAGGTGAGTTGTCCTCAGGCTTTGAATTGCTTACTGCTATTTGTAATTATGTTTCTAATTGCTCACTGCTGCTTGTAATGATGTTTTAAATATATGAACTGTTTAAAGTTATAGTGCGAGATGTTTGGGAAATATCTGTATTCTGTACACAGGTGTTGTCATCAATTTAGGTGGATAATTATGATGGTATTCGAATTTTTCATCACATACTGTGTCTTTTTTGACGTTGTGGGATTTTTGGGTCTTTTAGAAGTATGTCAGGAACTGGAACATCCGAACATGGTTACGGTGTCATAATTATTACCATGCTTGAGCTTGACTATAAATAACCCAAATTCTTGCTTGTGCAGACCGTGGGGATCCTGTTCACCGTCTGGTTTGTTTGAAGGATCACCCGCGCAACCTTTGCCCATACCTCAATTACGTCCCTAAGGGGGAAAAAACTTGGCCCCAAAGCTATGTTAGTTTGTCTATGTTGTAATCAGGAGGATGGCCACCCTAACCGTGATAACTGGGTAGGAGTTGCTGCTTATATTAGGTGTTCTAAGTGCGGTGCTAATTATGACCACAGGACTAAAGACTGCCCCGTGGGATACTACAATACATGTTGGTATTGTAAGAAAGAGCTCAACATGAGTTGTGACTGCCCCGAGAATGGTTAAGACTGCACATGAGTTATGACTGCCCCTATATATATAACTAGTGGAACTGTTTTCGAATACTAATTTTAATTAGTGGAACTGAGTCGCTGCTCCAATTCGATGAATTAGCAGCTTTTGTTCTTGGTATTGTTTATGCAGGTGTTTTAGTTTGGTTGACAACTTTTTCTAATAAAATCTTTAAATATCGTTCCTTGAAGATCCAAATTTCTGAATATCGTTCCTTGAATGGTGTCGCAACTGAATTACTTGCTCAAATTCAATAGTGAGGGCACTGAATCTCTTGAAATAAATAGCTATCCCTGCAGTTATTCGTATAAAGATCATTCATACATGAAATAGGCTGAAAGAAACATATTATTTAATTGATTCATCTTGACTAAAGTATGATATTTGAATATCACCATAAAATTTTAACATGGTATCAGAGCACCGGTTCTAGGGTGTCTCTTGAATACTATTTTTACACACTCCTTTTATCTCCTAGGTTTTTCACAACCCTAGCCACAACACCCAAGCATGGGTGACACCAAATCAAACAGATATCAAACATCAGCTTCCGACAACGAATCCCCCAAGTTCACAACTGAAGAATACAGTCAACTTAAGTCTCTTATTCACAATGGTACAATATCTCCTTTTTGCGCCAGCGCCAATGAGTCATCACCATCCACAACATCTTGGATACTTGAAAGCGGAGTCACCGATCATGTTGCTCCTCCTTCTATGTTGAACACATTGAAAGTTGCACCTTTGTTTTCCCCATATTCGGTTTACATACAGGTAGTTCCGATGGTATGGTAATCGAGTTAATAATGGGCAAATTCCAGACCCTTTGGACCAATATGTTAGAACCTTTATACGACTAACAGTAAGTTATGCTTGATTAAGTAGATAATAAAAGCTTTGTATAATATGTCAGACCAAGGTGATGGTGACAAAATGTAACCATGATTCTTGCAGTAGACTTGTAATTTTAATCAAACAAGGTTTGATGTTGAAAGTCTGAGAAATTTTTATTATTTGGAGTTTAAAAATCCTTTCAAAGGCATCATGCATTATTTTTTTGGCCCTTTGTAACTAAAATAAATGAGTTTTTTTGGTCGGAATAAAATAAATGAGTATTTAAACAAGTTATTTGAATCATTTTGAAGTGTTAGAAATAAATAAATGAGTATATAATGACGTGAAAAATAACAAGTCTACTAATTCCTACCTCCAAGAAAAACTGTACATTAAACTGTTTGTTCTTCCAAAATTTAGTCTCAGCCAAAGTTTTGACGTTACGGGAATGGTGTTATAATTTACAATTCAATTTTTCTCGACTTCATTTTATCTGATCTTGACTTTTCTCCTTAGTTGAGCAGAAGCTTTCCATCACCAATTTGACTTCAACAGAAGAATTCTTGGCTTGGAATCAATTACCTATGATCATAGCAAACATATATGTCAACCTGAGAAGACCAAAGAATTGATCGATACGTAATTGGTTCTATATATATATTTACAGAAAAGATTAAGGACAACATTCGGTGTACATTGAAGTGCCCTCTTTATCATCTGCATTTCACCAGCTAATGCAGTCACTTGTTGGTAAGAATCCGATCGATTTCACCATTCTTATTGTAGGTATCCACAATCTTCTTTGCATATGAAGGCATATGCTGATCAGCTCTGCATGGTTCATGTTTTCTTTTTGTAAATTGCATGTTTTCAAGTTTCGAATATAAGAAACCAGCATCACAGTTCTACTATCAGGTAACACATTGAAAGTTGCACCTTTGTTTTCCCCATATTCGGTTTACATACAGGTAGTTCCTGATGGTATGGTAATCGAGTGAATAACGAGCAAATTCCAGACCCTTTGGGCCAATCTGTTCAACAAGAACCAAGTCATAAAATAAAAGTTTGCATATAATTTTATAATTCCTAAATGCATCACTTAGAGTCCTTACCAAGTTTAGCAAGAAAGCAATCACATTGCCAACAAACTTTGGGGCAGGTTCAGGACCCTTTCCTGAGAAACAAGATTGTAAAAACAATGGTAAGCAGCATATATTTTGCGAGTCCTCCAGAATTTTAGATGAGCTATATAGCCTATATTACAAACCAAATGATTTTCAAGAAAAATAAAGCATATTTTCTTCAGAAGATAGAGTCTAATACAGTGAAATGATAAACATTTCTATTCTTGATCCCATCAAGGGGAGGTCCTATTCCCTGAATACACCCATAAAAAGTATCACAAAGAAGATACAGCACGTACCCAACTTTGCATTATCATCTGCCTTAACAGTCTCCATGACAAATGGTTGGCGATTGCCCTGTAATTGGCCATGCTTAGAATACTTCATGCAAAGGAAACTATGTCCTATAAACATCAAATTTCAAATCACAGAAATACAGAGAAAGAGAAATAGGATAGGATCAAGGTTTTACACTGCTAGTTGTTGGAGTAACCTCCAAAAGATTATCAACCAGATTGAGCATCTCTCTTCCACGTTCATTTCTACCATTTGAAGGCAAGAAAAAAATAGAAATCTTTATTTATTTCTTTCCTTTACCACCAAAGTGGAATAAAATATTGCAATAGCACAATGATAATCAATAAGCACAACGAAAAGCTGCACAGAGAGTCTGAGCAACGATATTACCTTACCGTAACATACTGTGGATGTTTAGTCATGCTGATTCCAGAATATTTTGGCACACCCATGTATCCCACAACTAAATCCTGAAATAGGTGAGAGACATGTGAGAACCTTTATACTACTAACAGTAAGTTATGCTTGTTTCAGTAGATAATAAAAGCTTTGTATAATATGTCAGACCAAGGTGATGGTGATAAAATGTAACCATGATTCTTGCAATAGACTTGTAACTTTAATTAATTTTCACGAAGGTTATATGCAGAGAGAGAGAGAGGATAGCAGCAGCAGTTGATTCCAAACAATTAGAAATTCCTTGTTTTTGTTGAATTGCATTTTTCATGTCTAAATGAGCTTCCAAGTTTTAATTTGATCATCAAACATAGTCCAATTTCATGTACAAATACCCAGTTTCAAAGACTTTCATCTATCTTTGACATAAAAGTCTTCCTGCATTCCATAATACATTATCCTTCATAAACCAATTGCTGAATTGAGACAGTACAAAGTCTAATAACTCTCCCTCTTTCCCTCTCCCAGGCAAAAAAAAAAAAAAAAAAAAAAAACGAAAAAGAAAAAACATGCAAAAGCAATTAACTTAAGAAGAAATTTAAAATCAAAATACATGTTTATTTCTAGAAGTTAGTAAAAATGAACTATTTTCAACAGAAAGTGTTACTTACGCAGTTTAACCAAAAAATGCATGGGAACAATGAGATGCAATCAAAACAACACATACTCCAAAAATAAAAAAATAGCATTCCCGTATCCTTGTAAAGATGAAAACTCACCGCTAAACCATTTGTATAATCGAAACAACTGCAAGACAAAAAAAAAGGGACAGGTTAGGAAAATATATGACAGATATAAACTATAGTATTGATATATGTGGCATTTATGTTTGTGAAATACGTCATCTAATTGTAAGTTACTTGTTCAATCGATCTGAGGGAATTCACAAATGAAAAGTTAATAAATATGCAGCAGTACAGGTGGTGATGACAATGATACTTCTGCGTTTCCAATATCAAGCATGGTCCCTGAATCTTATTGACTATAGCTTCGGGGACATCTGGTACAATTAGAATCAGAAGTGGAGATTACCATGTATTTAACGACTCTCTCCTAAAGCCTCAAAAACATCTATAAAGTTCAATGCATGTGCACACAATGCTTTTGATAATGTCAACGTGTGCTGATTGTGTGTGTGTGTGTGTGTGTGAGGGAGAGAGAGAGAGAGAGAGAGAGAGCAATTGTTTATCTTTCCTTTTCTTTGCATATTTAGTGTACATCCACTGCAATCTTATCCTCAAGGTTGCTAGTCCTATTTAGTTGCTGATGTTCTTTCTTAATATCTAAAGGTATGTCTACAGCAATTTCAGAAATGAATTTTCCTTCACCAAAACTGTCTATCATACCTTCTAGTTGTTGAATCTAATTCACATAAAAAAATATTCAAAAACTACTAAGTATTACAAAGAAAAGGACAAACATTACCTATAACAAGAAGGAGCAATTACATCAACCAACTCATTTGCTGGCAGAGAGAAATATGGAACCTGCTTTGGTTAAAATATGAAATGAGATGAAGTAGCATGAATGGGAGAGTAAATACCAAATTGAACATACGAGGACCACTTTTACCTCTTCAATATGACCATCCAAATGCTTCAAGTGAACCTATCAAGAGTACAGGAATAAAATTTAAGAAATAATATAGCCAACTAGCCTGTTAAGAAATGCTCACCCTAGGATTAGTTGGCATATAAGAAAAGATAAAACAATTAGTGTCCATTTTACTATCATAAGCATATAATCTAAAACAGATATAAGCCTGCCAGACCACACCACTAAATTATTATAAAAGTAAAATAAAAGTATCCATGAAATCTTTCAGAAAATTTGTGAAAAGCCCAATCCCACAGAACTCATCCAAGGTTGATCCCCTTTTTCGAAACAAGATTATTGCTATAAGTGTTAAACAAAGGGTGTGCAATGGCACACATGACCACCTTGAAACATTGCTCAGACCTTGGGCTCTTCTAATAATGAAATTAGTACCTTTTATGATAACTCATCTAAATCCTGTACTATATACAGACCAAATATTCAATCGCCACAAAATCTACATAAAGAATTTCTTAGTGCAAACCTTGTAATCTTGCATAAACTCATAATGAAGAACTGTCTCCGGTTCACTACTTGCAGCCTTTAAAAACTTATCAAGCCCTTCTCGAGTCCCATTGTCCACTGTCAAACAAGAGCATCAGCACTGATACAAATTCTACTACTTGTTACTGATGTCATTTACTAGAACGAGGGCATTATATAGTTGTTGACTACATACATATTTAATAAATAATGATGCTGCGGTTGATGATATGATGATTATGATTACAGAGATAGTAAGATACAGTTTATTATAGTAGTTCATCTATGCCATGTTTAACATGATGTCATGGCAATTATATATATATGTTTCCTCTGGGCGAGTAATAGACATAAGTAAACTTGATGGCTAGACTACTCGTCGAAATCGAGAAACATAAAAAATAAAAAAATAATAATGCATACGGCTTTTTACTAACCACAATTTGTGCCTAACACATAGAGCTTGTCCAAATTTAAATGGTGCTCCACAGATCGTAATGCTGCAGTTTAAGAAATTACTCTGCATTATGATAGTACAAGTCACAACAGAGAAGGCCTGAAAGTAGAACTTGCAAGATTATATTATAAATGCTACCTTGCACCTGGCAACCCACACCACAGAATAGAAGTTTCTTTACACCTGCAGCCTATTTTACAGGAAAGGCAAACACTTGCGTCACTAAAACTCATAAGAAACGTGCAATTTTGTGACAACGAAGGAGCAGTGTAGAATAAACAAATGTGTGCCTGCACACACACATACACACATACATAGACCAAACAAAATGAACTTCTGAAGAGTGAAACCAGAACAAGAGTTATTATGCCTAAAATCTATAAACAAGAAACAAAATCTGAAAGGTAAAGAACAAACCCTCCAACATGGGAACCCACAAGTTAGGAACGCTAAAAAGCCATATACATGATAGACATACAACTTATGTTTTGTCAAAGGAATCTTCCTCCTCATTGGCAGTCCTAGCCACCTTCAAAATACTATACCCACAAAACCCCATTAACCAGTGAGTGTATGTATAAGGAACAGGGAAATCAGCTCTGGGCGTCTAATAATGGAGGAAGTGTTACCCTCCAAAACTTTATGGAAGAAAAAGAGAAGTGCCAAAGGAGGGGCGCCGTATTTGAATAAATTAGATCTGTAGTTATAGTCACAAGACTCACAACTAACAAGAAGCAATACCAACAATTGAGATTTAAGCTCCATAAAAGGATGGTCCATCACTTAAAGGACAGAAAAGTCCTAAACAAAAAACCCAGACCACAAAGGATGCTATGCTCTTATTAAAGTTGACTCAACCACAAAGCATGTTCGTTAAATAGCACAGGAAATAGTAAATTAAGATTTGTGTCACTAATGAAAAAGAAAACCAGCCACCTCAACTAGGGCAAGGGTATTAAGATTAGGAGATAATGTCGGCTTGACACCTTTAGCAGCTAGAACTTCCTCTGGTGTCCTGTTGAGAAGGGGGTAAAGAGAAATGACATAATGAGGATGGAATAACAATAACCAGAAACAAAAATTGTCATTGAGAAAAATCAAAATGGTAGAAGAATTTTGTCTCAAAGAAAATGAACTAGATGCAAACCTTGCTAATACAGGCCGTGCAGTAAATCTGTCGTTTGGGTCACTGTAATAATTAAAACCATATGATAATTAACATTCCAAAAGGGGAAAAAGGAAAAAGGATTGAATAGGATAGATGAGTCCATAATGTTATCCACTCCAGTAAATTCAGGCCAGGACCTCTGTACACAAATTACGGCTTCTACCATGCCTGATTTTAGCATTTCTATTGCAATAGTTGTTACTATTCCTGTCCACTGAGCTCCTGCCATCAAAGAAAGCAATGCAACATTTTCATATTACAGTGACGAGAAAAATCAGACGAGACACAAAAGATGCACTACAAAGCATTTGACTCAAGAAATTCTGACACACGATAAAGAAATTATTTACACAAATTGCAATTTATTATGAGAATTCATAAAGTTCAAAATTTTAAAAGTTAAATAAATAAAACTCAAAATTAAACTGGAAAAGTAGGTAGAATTCCTAGTAATGAAAAATGGGATGACTTAGATGCCTCAGATGAGGTTCTACAAACTAACACTACCAATCTCCCTTGACAGTAGACTTAAACTATAGCGATGATGAATGACTGATAAAACAAAATTACCTCAACAGGCATCACTTTACGAGCATACAACAACTCCTCATAGACACCCAAGTACATTTCATCCGAGGAACCTGTTTTTCTCCCTCTACCATGAACTACAGGTTCCAAGCCCTGAATGGGAAAACAAAAGGGTACATGAATGCTGGAATATCAAAGAAACAACTTGTGTTTTTTATTGAATTAACCAACAACGCTAGGTTACTATAAAGTATAAAAATCCAAAGCTATGTAGTTCCACAAGTCTAGATGATGATTTAGTTAAATATGAAAAGAAAACTAATAGTAATGATAATAAAGAATTCTAATGACAACATTGGTTGTAGTTCCACAAAGAAACAACATTGGTTGAAGTAAAAATTTGGTCTCGTAGCACCTCTAACTTGAATTTCAAGAATCAAGACTGATGAATAAAATGGAAATCATGCATGGCAATGGATCATTAAAAAAATTATATTTTGAACGCAAATTGAAGTTCGATCGTTCCACTGCACTTCATATAAGCACTTCAAGGTGTTTGGTACATGATATTAGATTACTCGAGCATTTACTGTGCTCTTAATTAGTTTCAGGATTTCAAGAAATGACACCAACTTCCATCTACTATTTAAGAGTAAAAATTCAATGAAAGTATGAAAAATTGGGAGAGGAACAAGAACTTACTTCAATCTTAGACATTCCATCTCCTAAGAAAGCACAGGCTTCCTTGACGTGGGCAATGTAATATGTGTCGCACAACCCGCAACGACTACCAAAAGACAAGATTCAGAAAATAAAGAAATAAATAAAAATTCAAACTTTAAATGCAAAAATTCAAATTTATAAAAATTAAAAGTGGGGTAATGAAAGGAAGTGAAAGAGCTTCAAAAATGAACCTGCAGTGGTCTTTAGCCGGGTAAGTGCCACCAGAAGGAATGGGTCTGGAGCGTTGCCTCCAGTCCTCTCTCAGCTTCACTGACTTTGAGTTGGGTTTTCCATCTGTTCCACCACATAACACAACACAAACTTTGCTGTGAAACAAACACACAGATACACAAACAAAGGCGCACACAGAGAGTTTTGGGGGGTACCTTTAGAGGAAGAGGAAGATGAAGATGAAGATGAGGAAACAATGGAGAGTGAGAGAGGAAGGGAAGAGAGCTTGGCAATTAGAGAACACATTGCAGCTGAGAGAAACCCCAAGCCAACAATAATGCAACTGAAACGGAGTGAGAGTGACTACAATGTGCTGAGGCTGTGTGAGCCGCATATTTCTTTCTAACAGTCTGCCCTGGTGCTTCATAAGATTTGGTCACTCGTGTGACCGGGTGCACCTCTTATTTTTCAATAAGTTTTTTGTTTTACGTTATGTACTCAAACGGTCCCAAGTTGTATTTTGGCCCATCAACTAAATTATTCGTTCAAATAGTCTACTAACTTTTAATTAATCGGCACATTGATCCTATCGTTATATTTTAACGAGGGTAAATTACTCAAATGGTCCTCAAACTTATACCCGATTTACATTTTGGTCCCTCAATTAAATTATTCGTTCAAATGATCAATCAACTCTATATTAATCGCTCTCTATTGATCCTACTGTTACATTATGTTAATGTTGCCGTCAAATGTAAGGGTAAAACTGTCCATAACCGTCCTATGTTCCCCAAATATGTGATAAAATGGAGATAAAGTGGTGATACATAGGTGATAAAGGGGTGATACATATGTCAAAAGTCTTATTTATCCCCACAAATGTAGCATGTGCTGCTTACATGACTAAATTTAACAGAAAATATAATGGTAGGACCAAAGCGCCGATTAGTAAAGAGTTTGTGGACCATTTAAACGAATAATTTAGTTTATGAACCAAAATGTAAATCGGATACAAATTTGAGGATAATTTAGTTTAGGGACCATTTGAGTAATTTACAATGTTACCGTTAAATATAAGGATAAAACAGTTTAATTAAATAAAATACTAAATAAATTAAAAACTAAAATTATAGAATTAAATTATATGTAAAAACTCTTCCCACCTCCTTCTTCTTCAACATTTTTTTGTTTGAATTGGTGCATTTGGACCTCATGATATTGTTCATTGAAACCAATAATTTTTTTGGATAAATTTCTCAAATGGTCCTCAAACTTGTACTCGATTTAAATTTTCATCCTTTAATTAAATTATTTGTTCAAATGGCCCATTAACCATATATTAATCGCCCCACCTCCTTCTTCTTCAACATTTTTTTGTTTGAATTGGTGCATTTGGACCTCATGATATTGTTCATTGAAACCAATAATTTTTTTGGATAAATTTCTCAAATGGTCTTCAAACTTGTATTCGATTTACATTTTGGTCCCTCAATTAAATTATTCGTTCAAATGGTCCATTAACCATATATTAATTGCTCAATTGGTCCTATAGTTACATTCTGTCAACGTTGCTATTAAATATGAGGACAAATGGTCATTTGTACGTTAAAAATAAACAATATTGAAAAATGAATAAAAACTCTCTCCTCTCTCTCTCTCTCTCTCTCTCTCTCTCAAGCTCCAACCCCAAAACTATCCCACAACCACTCTCCACCCAAACCCATCCAAACAACAAACCCCCCCTCCAGGCCATGAACCCAAGTCCTAGCTCTTCCCCACCTGCCACCCAAGGTTTAAGGACCATTTGAGGAAATAATCATTTTTTAAGTATCACAATGACAGGTATATTGCGATAGGAGATTCGATACATGTTTAACGTTATTAACCAATAATATCAAGTAAGGTTTTAAGTAATTTGGGTAATTTGCAATAATTTTTTTTTTTTTTCCTTGTTCTTTCTTTTTGGCTTGATGTTTGAAGAGGGCTCGTAGAAATGGATGTTTCTGTTCTTCTTTTTTCCTCATAATTAAATGGAGTTGAAATCTCACAAATCTACATTGCCCAAATTCAGGTTGGGCGTCTAGTCTGTCGGTTGCAGCACCACCATACTATTCTCAATTAACCACAAATAAACGTGGTGAAGTTTTGTTTTTTGTTTTGTGGTGTTATTTATAGAATCGAAAAATAAAATCAATTTAGAAACCGTAAAAGTCTACTTGTTAGAGCTCCATCAACAATAGAAACCAAATTATTTGAAATGTTTCGTTTTTAAAGGATTACAGCAACAAGCAAAAGCACCCAAATCGAAAATCAGGGCCTTCTGATTATCATCAAAGATATGGGGATTGTATGGCAAAAAAGACAAGTTACAATAACCTTTTCCAACAAAACCCAAGTGATCCAACTTCGCAATCAATCGCACTCAAATTATAGAAGTAAACAAGAAAATTAGCGAAATTCATAAAATAACTGAGAAATTATCGTTGGGTGTATTCCTGAATCCCTGCCTTTATATCGGAAAATACCCCCACCTTCAAATGAAAACTTTCCCAAGAAAAAGCCCTCAAACAGGGGACAAATATCACCATTTAAAGAAAATGACACCTGAGAACCAAATCGTTTCTTTCATTTCGTGGGGGCGTTAGCCAAAGGTAAATGGATGGCGGGTAACAAAGACTGCCGAAAAAACGAAAAAAAAGGAGAAAACACAGGTCGTACAATTTCTTCGTCTGATACAACGGTATCCCCTCTTTCGGGATACCACCAAATACCCCCTACAACTATAAAGATCTACAACCAGTAACAGTAACGAGGGACTTTAATTCAGTTTCAAGAAATGATACTCAGATATTCAATCAATGGAAGGCCTCTAGGACAAGATCATTTTCTTTATTAAAAAAATGGACTGTAAATTGACCTCAAAAACATATACAAATGACGCCCGGCATGACGCCAAGGGAGGCGAAGGAAGGCAAAACCGGATCAGAGCATGAGGATTGTTGAGACGCATATTGACTTGCAATCGCACAGAAGATACTAGTTCTTCGCTTGAGGCCTCCTCTCAGAAAAAGCTTCATAATCCATCCCCACTCTTTCCAATACTACACTGAGAATAATAGAGCAAGATGAATTTACTATATATCCACTCCATGAATTGCAGAAACTACAATTAACGTTCAAGAAACATTATTGCACTCTGGCTTAATTACACAGCTCTGGACCAAAAATTCCTTTCTAATAGAGACAAAATAAAGTATTAAAAGGCACCAAAAGAATAATGGTACTTTTGCGGAATGTGTACCTGAGCAGCCAACTATAAATAAAATTTTCAATCATAAAAACACGGTACTCATCGCCCTCATATGCATATGGAGTATTGGCGGACATATCAACATGCTAGGTTGGCTACAATAATATTCTCGTTACGATAATTAGGGGCAGTAAGAGCTCAATATCGGAGTTTGGGCTTCAAGTTTGCGGGAAATCATTGTTCAGCGCCGTCATTCATGAAAACAATACGGTCAATTGTATGAGGATTGTGGACAACAAAAAAATAGAGCCAGAACAATCCATTATCAAAACGAACTCACTGCTATATAACAAGTACGTCAAACACATGATCCACTTAAAGTATGACCAGTGATGCGGGTAGTGATGTCCCTCTTGGTAACAAGAGAGGAACGTCAATTCCATGTGTAACGGACTTTCACCAAACTTACACAAAATCAAACAGTACAGAGGACGCCAGACAGAGTCAGGTTCAAACCCATCTGAAAATACGAAAGTAGTCGGCTAAGATGACAAACAGCATTCCCATGGAATGTATTTTGTGCTTGAACGAAGCTTGTTCCATTGGATCAAAAACCAGTAAAACAAAAAACACAATAGCTTGGTCACATCCAATGTCCACAAGTTCGAAGTCACATAAAGAAAGCATTAGGACATTCTTTCAGTCACAGATTCAATTACCCGTAAATATATGGATCAAGCTGAAGAAAGATTTGACCAAAAAACAAAGAAAAATCGAAGAACGCTAAGAAAAAAAAAAAAAAAAAAAAAAAAAAAAAAAAAAAAAAAAAAAAAAAAAAAAAAAAAAAAAAAAAAAAAAAAAAAAAAAAAAAAAAAAAAAAAAAAAAAAAAAAAAAAAAAAAAAAAAAAAAAAAAAAAAAAAAAAAAAAAAAAAAAAAAAAAAAAAAAAAAAAAAAAAAAAAAAAAAAAAAAAAAAAAAAAAAAAAAAAAAAAAAAAAAAAAAAAAAAAAAAAAAAAAAAAAAAAAAAAAAAAAAAAAAAAAAAAAAAAAAAAAAAAAAAAAAAAAAAAAAAAAAAAAAAAAAAAAAAAAAAAAAAAAAAAAAAAAAAAAAAAAAAAAAAAAAAAAAAAAAAAAAAAAAAAAAAAAAAAAAAAAAAAAAAAAAAAAAAAAAAAAAAAAAATTGTCAATTGTGAAGTTGGTGCCCAAAAATGATATGACAAATTTGTATATTTAAAAGATATAGCCGCACGGCTTTGCTTTCTAAATACATTTGGATATTTAAAAGTATCGCCGTTCGTCTATACCCGTTAAATATTAATATATTCGAATATTTAAGAGTATGGCCGTATTTAAGAGTATAGCCGACCGGCTATACCCTTTAAATATTTTCGAGAAAAACGCGAAGCTTCCACTAGCAGACGACGGAGCTTGCAGAAGCCATTTCGCTTCTCTATCAACTCGAGCTTCGATTTGTTTTCTTCGGTTTCGGCTGCTTCTTCCTCCTTGTTCGCCCGGAAAAAAGACCCAAACCCGCCCAGCAGGCCCGCCCAGCCGCCTAGCGCCCGCCTAGCCGCCTAGCTCCGCCTAGCCGCCTAGCCGCCCGCCTAGGCCGATTTTTCGAAAACAGAGATTGACTGAAAGTCTGAAACCCGAAATTGAAAAAGTTTAGCTGCAAATTTGAGCTTGAGATTGAGATTGGGAAGCCGAAGCAAGCACAAGTCAGGTCCATAGAAGAAGAGATCATTAGACTCTTAATTCATCTAATTCCATTTGCTGACTTGGTGTCTGTCTTCAGTGGAAGGAAATGATGAAGCTATCCTATCATGGAGTTTCTACGGTCTTGCCAATAACAAGGTTCGGTTTTTAGGCCCCAATCTCAAATTCTGACTATTTATTTTTGGTTTGGTTAAGCAAAAGATTGATTGGGTTTGGTTCTTCTTGCTTGAAACTTGATAAATCTTTATGCATTCAATATTCATCCATTGATGGTTCTTCTTGGTTGGACTGCTTTTCATTCTTTGGATATCCAAATTTGAAAAAAAGCGGTGCAGGAGCAG